TTTCTTGATGTTATAGAAAGGTAGCATATTCTTCTCAATTATTTTAAGACCTTGAGTGTTGGTCCGGCCAGGGCTCGAACCCTCGACCTCCCGCACAACTCCCGTATTGCTGAGTGAAAGTCTAGGTATATAGCAAATGCTAATTATATGACTGAAGCTAAACTGTAAATGTGTATAGTAAATTTGTACATTGTCTAAAGTGCATTTGACTTTTCTACCCTTAAAGATATCAAGAATTTTACCCATTCTTACTAAATCAACACAAGAAAAGTCCATATCTGGAGTTTCCATCATTTGACAAGGTAATAAACAACAATATTGCTTTAACCCATGTACATTTTTGTAAGCACATCATACTACTTTTTTTTTTCCTTTTTCAAACATGCTCATCTGAAGTCTTTTAAATGGACACCCACTTACTATTTTGTGGAATATCCCCAAGTGAAATTGGGAAGTGCTCTGAGACCTGATTTACATGTAAATGAGTTTTTGTCAATGACTCAACCATTTCGTTTAACTCTGGCACTTTAACTGGTACATCTAGAAACTTCCCAGAAAGAAGAAACCATGCCTACTCTTTGGTCTCTGCTTTTGAGTTTTAAAACATATTATTTATTTAACTTGCATAGTAAATTTCCTTATGTTAATATTTAGTACCCACTTGTAGCATTTGTTTTCTTCCTTTAAATGTGAAATTCATGTCAGATGAAGAGCTTTTTGTTTGTAGATATTCTTATGATAAACATTAATATTAACAATGATAATAATAATGATAATGATGATACTACCACTAATAGTACTACCACAAATACTATTATTGATACTTATTATTATTATTTTATTATCATCAGTGTCATAATTATTATTATTATTTTATTATCATCAGTATCATCATAATAATTATTATTATTTATTATCATTATTTCATATGTAGAAAAGGTTGGTATTAATAACATCTGAGAAACCATTTCAGCGATGAATTATTTTTATTGCATTTTTACATAAATATCTAATTATGAAATTTTGACTCTGACAAATATGAATATTTGAATATTTAGGCAGTGGATGAGTTCTTCTCAAAAATCGAAAGCCAGAAAATTGACATGAAGGCTCTGTCTCAGGAAAAAACAGCACTGAAGAAGTTAGAAAATATCCGAAAAGATCACCAAAGAAGAATTGACTCGTTGCAAAAGTCTCAGGTACAGCACTTTATTTACTTTAATAACACGTTACGATTGAGCTTTTTAACTCACAACGAGTCATTACAACAACCAATTAGAGTGAAGGAAAATGTCACGTGAACCAACAAGAACTCAAAGTAAAATCAACTGCTTTAATGGCGGGAAAATGCGCGTGGACAACTCACGACTGGATTTAATTTTGCATTTGATTAGCTGAGAGGATGGTTCAAGATTTCTAGGGTAATCACAGAACGGATGAATGCGAAACCAGTGCAATCGAGGATTATTTTCGATAAGGAATTTAAAATTGCTCAATAATTACTGCATTGTTGGCTTCAAAAGGAAAGTTCATATTTCCAAATCTTAACATCAAACAAATTGTTTTTAGCCAAAGTTAAGCGGGGATCAGTTTGAAAAGATAATTGCCTCCACTGTTGTGTTTTTATGAGTTCCTCCCCCTCCTCTCTTCGATGAGTCTCCAGTTTAGAAGCCGTGGAAATTTCTTACAAAAGCCTTTCCTCAGGGGCTTTTAACATCCATTGCGGTACTTAACCTTACATTGTACTTCAAATACATTTAGGATCTAGATACGTTGAAAGCAGAACGTATGGAGTTGAACTTACCACCCTTTTATTAGCCTTAAAAAAAAAGTTAATCCTTCCATATCTGCTTTACATTACACAAGAAATGTGCAAATCTAAAGTGAAAATTAAGATCTTTTCAATATAACTTCATACAGCGCGCGTTTCTTTTGAACAAAACCGATCCATCGTTTATCATTCCGAGTGATTTATAGTTATTTTATGGGCGATAATCTTATTGCCATGAAGTTCTCTTGTTAGGTCCAAAAGCCTTTCATAGCTTTCGTTTTCAGTAATTCAGGCGTTTTTGTTCAACCAAAGAGAAGAATTCTGTATTTTGCTTTTATTGAAGCGTAGATTCGAAAAGACAATCGTCCTCACTTTGGAGATTTTATGAGTCCTCCTCCGTGATTAGCCCCCCTGTCTGGAAACTTTGGAAATGAATAAAGCTCCTAGCCTGAGGGGCTTTTTACAGCCATTTATGTTCTAAATAAAACATTGTGCTTCAAACACATTTAGGATGTTGACATGTTGAAAGCAGAACTTGTGGAGTTAAATCTACCGTTGGTGAGTTGGAAGCCTTTCAGTAGCCCTTTTCAAATTATTTTATGGGTATCCTTCAATCTTTTTTTTTTGCCACCAGGGTGAGTAACTTTCTCGCATGTAACGTAATATTAAACAACTGATGGGATGGGCCACTCGATGAGTCCTTTAATAACATTTACTTTGTAGTATTACAGCCAATCAAATTGAAACAGTTAACATTTTTTACAAACGTACGTTTCATCTTGTAAACGGTTTGTAATGACCACCTTTAAGTATTTTTAAATGTTGGCGTACATTTTGAAAATACAGAAGAGGTTCAGCGCCGATATTTTAATGTTTTTAAGGAAGATATGCGTTAGTCTTCTCTTTTATCGTTGAGAGAAGTCGCCAAAATTCAATTCCTCTCAACACTGACTAATTTACCCGCACAATTCTGACAAACACACTTTTAAAGTAGACAGCTCAAAGAGGACAATAAAAACCTCACCTTCAAACTAAATGGCGAAACTTGTTCTGTTTTAATAACAAATCAAGTTTGTCTTGCATCTAAAAGATGAAACTAACTATTTAACTGGATATGATGATGGCAAATAGGTACGATGGAGAATTATTCTCGTCAAATAGGGCCGAAAACGAGAATTGCGTGTGATTCGAATTCGGCCTCCTACTGATCAGCCAACAGGGGGCATTCATTTACACATAAGTTCATCAGCTCTTAACAGGAAGTAGTCACAATAACGCTTTTAAACAAAGGCATTGTGTCGCAGATAGCAGACTCGTCTATATATTCTACGCGGAGACAAGTGCCAAACCAAAACATCTAACTTAACAGCCAGGCTGCCACTTTTCTCCTAAACTTCAATTTGAAAAATGGACCAAGGCTCAGATCCTATGTATTCCACGTATATTAGTAATTCTGTTTTAAATGCCTGTTTATCCTACACGGCCATGATGCTTAACATTTTAACAATCCATGCGCTCAGGAAAACTTCATCTCTGCCAAAGACCTTGAAAACATTACTTTTGAGTCTTGCTGTGTCTGATCTTGGAGTCGGTTTAATGGTGCAGCCTCTATATAGCGCATTACTGGTTGAAAATTTGCAACAAAAGGACGCAGAATGGATAGTGACCGTGTGTACATTTACCGCTGGTTTATTTGCCATCTCGTCGTTTCTTGGTGTCACGGCTCTGAGTGTAGACAGATTTTTAGCGGTTCATCTTCATCTTAGATATCAGGAACTTGTAACTCACAAGCGTGTTGTGGTGGCGGTGATAATATTATGGTTGTTTAGTGCATTGATCGCTTTGTTATCTTTCTGGGATGAAATAATCTTGTTCATCCTTCTGGCGTGTATTTCCACTCTATGTGTCATTTGTTGCACAACTGTTTATTGTAAGATTTACTTCGCCGTACGGCGCCTTGCAAGTCGTCTACAACATCGCCCGCGTTGGGGGCAAGAAGTACGTCAAGACGCTGACGTAGCGGTGAATGCTGACAAGCTGAGAAAATTTGCCCTCAGTACGTTTTATGTGTTTCTGGTATTTTTAATCTGTTATTTGCCACATACCTGCATGTTGGTAGCACGTATCTTGATTCGTGAACAGAGTACTTCAATGCGCACATTTGATTTATATTCTTTAACTCTGGTTTACCTTAATTCGACCTTAAATCCTGTTGTCTACTCGTGGAAGATCAGACATATTCGTCTCGCTATTATGAACATACTGCGAAAACTTGTTTTTTGTAACAACTGACTAGATACTGAAACTGTAAGGTTTTTGTTCAGAAACGCGATGCGGGAACTAAATACGTGCTAAATTAACATAGATTTCATAAGTTTTTAGGGCGGAGGAAAAGAATTGCTCAGAAAAGATATTATCTCAAAGTGAACAAAAAAACAGAAGCTTATTAAAGTAAACTTTTGAAGATTGAATGGATAGATAGCATTGGTCGTTAGGTAACCATACAAATATCTGAACAATGTACGATTTCGTGTAAAAGTAATGTATTGCATTCGTAACTTGTTTCACGAAAACAACAAAAAAAAAAACCAACGTGAATTAAAAAAAAAGATGGATTAACAAATTCTTTTCATTGTAAGGTTGAAGGAAAAAAAAGTTATCGCCTATAGAAAATTAATTAAAGCGAGCAATAATCGGAGACATAATAAAGAAACACCTATGTAGATTAAAAAGTGATTTTTGTTGTATTGGGTGATATCAGGTGACCACAACATTATGGGTTTCATGAAATATATTACATTTTGTATAAAACCTGTTTAGATGCGTTGTGTAATCACATTCCGTTGTGGCAACGTTAACTATATGTTAAATTGAGTGCCCTGCGACAAAAAAAAAAAACCAAAACAAATTACACGGCACTCTCCATTCGAGAACTGAATTTGATTTAAATGGTCCTGAAATTGAGCTTCGCGTACCCATTTTTCTCAATGCATTTTCGATGGCATAGAAATAAAATTCTCAGACAGAATGACTGTCAAATGCTTTGTCCAACCGAACAGACACGATTCGTCTCTGTGATTTGATTGGTTTTTGGAATTAACGGTAGAGTTAGCATGATCGGTGTTACATAACATACAAGTAAGCGACTCGTGTCGGAACAAAAACGTTTTTTATTATAGAAAAAAAAAAAAAAACAGGTATGAAGAAAATAAAACTGAAAAAAAAAAAACTTGAAACGAGTCATTAAACAATTTGTAAACATTAATCAGTTTTTATTTTTTAGGCGTGAACTGGGCATAAACACGTACTCAACCTAGCATCCTTCAGTGAATTCCTGGCCTTTGTGTTGCCGCCGATATGAACGTAAATTTTTCTTTATGTCCCAAAGATAGGCTATTATATTTCTTGAGGCGTTCCAAATGAAGTTATTAACGAAATCTATGTCGGCGTATTGTTAATGGCATCAATGCTTATAACCTAAAAATAAATTTCAAGACGATTCCCTCTGATTTTTCAATTATATTTTCATTTTGAAAAGGGAAATTGGGACAGGCGGAAGCAGTTTTGACATTTTCTTTTGCAAGAAATAAATTTTCTTTTATGAAGTGGAAAAATCGCCGATCTGTACGATTCCTCGTGGTATGGCTCTGACTCAGGTCCCAGAACTTATATTTAACAAACAAGATGATCAAGGAAAGTTTTATCAAATTGTTCGTTAATGTTAGAGTTGAACAAAGGAGATGTTTATATTACTAAGTTTCTACAGAGCCTTAGGGAAACGCGCCTTCTAAAACTTGAACGTTTCTTAATTTTAAAGCAATAACGCGATCGCAGAAGTGGTCTGTTCATTTGACGCCTTTTAAAGTACTTATCGTTCGCCTAACAAGTGATAATGTATTATCAGGTGACACTTGCGGAATAAGTAAAGCGGCACTTAACTTTTGCCACAGACGCAATCTTTAAGTACAATGTCAATACTTATTTCTTTGATGCACGTAAAGCCAGTCAAACTCAATTTTTTTTCTCAACGTAATAACTATCAACCCTTTATGGCTTTGCCTGCTGGTTCGGCGTTACATTCAAATGTAATTTTTAATGCAAAACCGTGGGTGTGAGGGCAATCTATTCATCTTACACTGACCAATTCCATGCCTATTACCTTTTTATCGTTCACAGACGCCGTCGCCAACTCAGAAATAAGATGTAAACAGCTTGCATTTGCGAAAGGCCTTTCATCACTTTTTACATTTTCAGGGACGCAAGTTTACAGTAAATTTTTCCGGATCGTGGTCTGTATTTCAAAAAGCCGAACCAGCTACGAGTGTGCGATTTGCTGATCAGATTTGTGTATTTCAGTTTCCGGCCCGCCGCATGCCCGCTGTATGTTATGAGCTTGTTTAACTCAGAGGCATTGTTTTAAATGCGGTTCTGCAATCATAAAACCTCAGAGGGGTCGCAAAAAAATATTTATTACTTCTCTGTGTACGATAGAGTGAACAAAACCCTTTACACTCCTGTATACGTATTCTCCTCACTGCCTTAGATAAATTTACTCGGTACTGACAGGAAGAATTTGTTTAATAGTCATGAGCTTATTTAGTTTCCTTTTCTTCTTGGTCTGGATATTTGATTCAGTGGTGATGAGGTAGGGAGAAATGAAATGGTAGTCACTCTTGGATAGGTGAAAGGGTGAGTAAATCAATAATGCATTGTGAATCGGCTGCTTTATGCAATTCAATTCGGAACGAAAGTCTTTTGGTGTTCTCCTACCTCGCCGGCATTCACTCCTTCCCCATAAAGCGATCACCTATCACCTATCGCTTGCACGCTTCACATGCCTATCTTTTCGTCTGGGAAAACAAAACTGCGTAAAAAAGCAGCGGGGGAGTTGGGGAGAAGAGGGTGCTGCCTGCATTAGACCTCCTTGGAAACTCGACTTTGAAGATTATTTTGTTTTGCTTTGAGAATAAATTGTTTATTACAAGAAAAAAAAAGATTAATGAATAGAAGTCAACACTGGAACTTGCATTCGTTTTTAATCACAAATGCCGCGGTTGTAGTCAATTTTCGAAATAGGTTATTTTCTGAGCTTCATTTAAATGTTTTTTCCAGAAGGAAGGTGTTTTATTTTCATTTTTATGGAAAACGAAGCCTGGTAAACTTGGAATCGTTAATCATTTCTGAAGAAATGCCTGATACTCTCAAGAAGTTTGAAAATACACTCAGTAAG